GCTTATGTAAGACTTAGAAATGTCCGAAAGATGGGATTTGTAGACGCAAAATTAAACAGGGCAGTCTCAAAAACGAATTTATAAGATACAACACGCGATAGCAAGTCACACGAAATTAGTATGTCAGCTGCCGTAGCAACAATCCATTAAAGTGATATGCGCAATATATGTGTTCATTGTTGGTTACAAGATTTCAACATGAACTTGGTTAATATAAAAAGCGAAGATTTTATACCTAAAAAGCGAGCTTACCATCAAGTTTGCGGTCGCTAATGCGAAAGTTAAGCGAGCAAAACGCCTTTGAGGCAATAATTTTTGCACCCTCCTTTAAATTTGCAAATCGCTCTTTAAGTTGATGATCGACTTCGGGGCCAAATGCAAAGTTATTCGCGAAAATGATTGACGATGAGATTATCCTTTCGGTGCATTCAGGTGAGAGGAAGTCACCCTGCACTAACTAAAACGAAGACAGAAAGCTTCGTAAGCATTAAAGAACGCTCGCCCAGGCTCATAATTATTAATACGGAAGGGAAGAAGAAAACGACATAGCAACGACATTTTACACTAATTATAAACGACTGTGATAATCCTATTCACTTGTTAGCCATTGATTGAGTGTACTGAGCGGCTATGGTACGCAAAGAGAAATAAGAAACGGTGACCCGGGAGGACATAAACATCTTTAGTGATAGGTAGAAGCGTAGGTTGACAGTCATATGAATTTGTCTGAAGATCGGCCTACCTCTGACGTAAAAGCAGACGAATTTTCGACTAGGACAGAATTTAGTGTTAGGATATGGTCTCGTTTAATGAGTTACGGCGCACACTATAAAGGCAGCATTCGCAATATAAGACAGCCTGAAGAAACGCAGCTAAAAGACTCAAAAGAATGCTTAGCCCTTCATTTATGCATAAAAAGAGGATGGAAAATGTGGAAGACCTAGATTATGATCGCAAATTTATTTGGCAGAAAGGGATAAAGTAAGGAAAAACAATGACATTCACTTACCGCATACGGCTGATAGGTTTTCCCATAAAAGGCCATCCATCGGCGGAATTCTTTGTCCATTCTCTGAGCACAGCGTGAAGGATAGTCCGCCTTCTCAATGCCATACGAAAATTTAGCATTGCTTGATGCTGCAACTTGCAGTACGACCTGGCCTACTCCACTGCCGAGGTCGATAAATGAATCATCCTTCGTGATAGAAACCGTGCTAACCATCTGGGAGACGAGTTCAAATGAAGTTTCGCCATAAACTTGGGGAGAAAATGGAGGATATTGGTTCAGTTTTTCTGGGTCCTCAACAGCTCTGTTGTAGCACTGGGCTAAGATAATCTTGAGTTGATTATTCTTAGCACGTCGGTCACAAAAATCAGGGCGAATCCCTCTTTCGTTCCACTGAAAATTACAAGTCACAATTTGAATCTTACCTTAGACCATAAATTTGAAATGCAAGAGTTGTAAAGATCACAGAACGCAGACACAGATTCCCAAGACTTCCAATTAATAGAAGCGAATTCATTTAACAGTGCGGTGTTTTTGCTGAGCTCTTTGACATCACAAAGGACGAAGTTAAGGCATTCATACAGTTCCCTATTATCATCGCGTGCTTTTCCACCCTAGAAGAAAAGTGTTTAGGTGACTAAAGAAAGGACAACAAGAGGGAGGCAGGAGGCCTACTCACAGTGAATTCAGTCCAGCAAAAGCATTCATCAGGAGCACCCGCTGGACTCTTGATGAGGAGCACGTTAGATAAACCCATCAAGAGCGTCGACAGACGCGCTCAACGAAATGAGGCGACAAACCCCAGCCAAAACGCCCGCTTCTACTAAGGAGGCACATTAAACAACAGAGTGAGGGAAGGGCTTTTAAGCGTTATAATCTGGGTTAATACGCTACTCATTTGCAATATTTTTGAATATTAATTAAGCGAAAATAAAGCAGATGCTAGTCTTATAAGCAATTGGCACCGAAAGGGCAATAGGTGAATCTAAGAGGCGTGTATAATGACAGAGTTCAGTTCAGTTCAGTCCAGTTTTATTAGGGAAATATAGGTAAATACCTTTGAGCT